GTCAAAAACTCATGAAATCAGAGTCTGTTCCAAGTATTTTACATACTTAAAAGTTCTTACTTATTTTGCACATTTGTTGTTCAGAAGCATTTTAATCCTATTTCGTTTCTTTCGCATTCGTAAATGTCATTGGATTTCCTAAGGCCCGGTTCAAACGTCGAACTTTTCATGTGCCGAACCTAATAGCCCCAATTAAGTACATGACGAGATCGACGTTTGAATCAATTAAGTTCTACAAATGTTATATGGGTCGACCCGGGAATTAAGTTCGACATGGCCAGTCGGTCAGTTCGACTTCGGAGCGACTCCGATTCAAACGTCGAACTTTTCATGTACCGAACCTAATGCATGCATTACAAATACATTAAATAAATTAATTTTTACCCACAGATCTGCACGTTTACTATTTTTGTCATGAGCACACACCTTGTTTTGATCATTTGGAACAAAATAGCGGGAAGAGCGGGACAATATGTGTTCCTATTACTTCGAGAGTCTAAACATAAATGAATCTTGAATAAACCGACGACAGGAACGAACTGGACGAGGAACTGCGATGTTTCTTTGGGAATAAGCGATAATATCAGGCAAACCAAATTCGAAAATCGTCTTCGGTTGTTTAATGCTGATTGCATCTGGGTCGCCTTCTTCGACTAGCTCTACCCTCCTTTATCGCACTTGCAAGAAAAGCAACCTCTTCATTTTCACAATTTGTCTTTCCTACATTTTTCTGCCATTTTGGTCAGCAATAACCGTCGTTTGCAATGGTGTCTCTTTTATTTTTGTAATTAAGTTCGATTAAATTAGGTTAGTCGTTTGAATCAGCTGCCGAACTTAATTATTTGGGTCGACCCAAACTGGTGTTAGGTTCGGCACATGTAAAGTTCGACGTTTGAACCGGGCCTAAGATATTTACTTTAACCTTGATCGCCCCACGGCACGAAAACAATCAATCTATCATCCTACAAAATTGCTATATCTTTTAATCTTTGCTTTTTACGAGGGATCGCTGTGCAGACCACGTCGAAGTTTCGATTTCGGTTGAGTTTCTTTTTTTTTCCTTGTTGTCATATATGCAAATTGCAGCCTATCCCGCGGGACCACGTGGTCTTTGTGTTCGTTTTGCGTGGAAGTATGCGAAGTGGAAATCACTTCGGGCTGGAGGAACATAATACAGTCAAGCCTATATATAACGCACCTGTATTAAGCGGCCACCCTCTATTAACCGGCCAGTTTTCAAAGTCCCGATTTTTTGCTCATACAAACGCTGAATTTTTTACCTGTATTAGGCGCCCTATGTATGTCTTTCTTTGTTATTTTTACCTGTATTAAGTGGCCACCTTTGAACGGAAACTAAGCCACATGTCGTTTTATGCGGTATTTTATTGTTACTCCGGGAAGCCTTACGGCCAGAGCTGGAAAGCCTAGGAGGCACTCTAAATGCGCAAAATGCTTGACTCTAATTTGAGGTTGCCATAGTGACTGTAAAATGAAACTTCTGTCTATGTCTTGGAAAAAATTGTGACAGCAAATTCCAGATGATTTCTTCTTCTGCTCTGCTTTCGACATACTTTTGCTCGTATAACAAGACAAATTGTTTGTTTCATCATCAAATTCGAACTGCAGAGTGGTTTGACATAATATTATGAGTGATACAGTTTACAAAACAAAAGAAATGAAAGTTTTAGTTCATACAATAATGTTTAATTGTTTTCAATCAAGAAAGCGGGGGCAAACTTTAGTGATAACTATTACTAGTGTTTAAAATGCGATCCCATCATCACTATAAAAAATAACGTGTACAATTAGCTACTATGAGCTGATAATCGGCCGTTTAGTGTCGTACAAACCAAAGTTTCAAATGCTGAAGCGCCAAATGTGCGTGTACGTTCCTATCCGACTTTTTAAGTCGCCATAATTCTTACTCTATTACTACTTTAACTGGAACAGTTTTATTGTCTGTTGTTCTACTTTTAATTAGGAACATTTCCGTCATAACTGCAAATTGAACGTAACAACTATGAAATGACGGAATGAGATATTTTGTTGTGAACTGTAAGTCATAGAAATACAGTACTGTATTAGTATGCCGTGGAAGGGTAGAGGACAATTTATTGCACAGTACCTTTACACAATGTACCCTTATTTAAGTTGCAAGTTGGCACTGAACTTTGTTTATAAAGTTTTGATCATTTGTAAGAGTGTTTTCCTATTGTTCTTTGCATGAAGTCTACTGGTTAAGGGCCTGTTTMCAAGGAGAGAGGGTTACCCTAGCAAGCTGGTTAATCCTAGCTGGAGGGCAAAAGATAGCCCGGGTTTACAAGCAAAATTTTACAGGTAAGGTAACCCTCCAACCAGGGACAACTTAATGTGCGGTTACACTCAAAGGGTCTGGAAACAATTCGAAAGTTAACCCGGGTAGGCGGGTTAACGCTACCTGGAGTGTTTGCAAGGCAAAAATTTAACCCACCTGCCAGGGTAACCCTAGCACGCAGATGGGGTAAGCCGCCTACCCGGGTAACCCTAGCTGCCTTGTAAACACGATGAAGAAAAAAGAAGAAATGTGTGAGTGCTAGGCCCACTTGCTAGGGTAACCCGCCTTCTAGGGTAACCTTCTCTCTTTGTAAACAGGCTCTGACTGAATTGGACATAAATTATCACTCACTTGCTCACAGTTAACACATACGTATACATACATGTCTCAGTGTAATTCATGCATACAATTATCTATGACACAGTAATATTAGGTTTATAAGGACAATACAGTAGACCGTTTTCGTTTTCTCAACATTGAATTGGAACTAGCTTGCAATGGAGCTCGAGGTTCATTCAGGGTGAATTTCATTACAAAGAGATAATGCCATTTCCATTTGAAAAGACTTTCTGCATTAGCCTCAGTTGCAAGCTTGTTTCAGGCCAATAACGAGAATATGAAAATGGTATATTGGGACTATGACGAAAAGGAAGATCTCAGCAAGGATTCTTGGAATCAGAAAAGAAACTGGAGATTGCCAGGCATTTTTCAGAGAGAATAATTATACTCTCGAATCACTTTTCACTTAATTTGGTCACAGTAG